GCTGCTAGGATTCTTTCAGAAAAGTACACTGATGTGGTAAGAAAATCAGGATGATTACAAAAAATGTTCAGTTTTCACATTTCTGAAGCGGCTTCTCTGCTGGCACATGCAGGTTCTCCTGGGTGAATTTCCAGAGGAGCACTTTGACGAGCCAATACCAAAGGAGATCATCAAGGTCTTGCAAGCTGACTTGTCCTACATAAGGGAAGAAATTGCAGCAAGAAATTCAAAACTGGAAATGCCCTACACATATCTGAACCCTGATATTGTAGAAAACAGTGTGACCATTTAGGGATTGTTTTCATGATTAAAAGAAAATAAAGGAATGTGTGAAAGGCTTTGCATTGTTCTGTCTTGACTGTACAATTCCCCAAGACACAGATCTCTGCAGTGCTTTTTGAAAAGTGTATTTGCTGTGTGCAGTATATTGATGACAAACGTACTGCAGTCAAACAGTTATTTTACTTCAGACAAATATAAATTGGCTATAAAATTTTATAGGAATTGGCTAAAATTCCAACAAGGGTGAAAAGGAATCTAAGTTTACTCAAAGTAGATGAGGTGAATGTACCAAAGAGCTTGTGTAAGAACAGTTGGCTTTTATATTGAAAAAATTACAGTAATTGGAAGGTATATTCAGGATTTGTTGATGGGTTATAATCTATTGCTCAATCTTATGGATCCCAGGTTTCTCCCGGCGGGCTGAAGTGAAGCCACACAAAACGATGTGTAGACGTCGGCGTTTAATCCAATAGAAGACAACGTATGAAACTGCAGAAAAACATGCATTCACCTGAGACAAATGGAAAAGAAAAACAAAGGTGTCTGAAGAATTGCAAGAGCAAATCTGATTTGTTACGTGTACAAAATTTTATAGTAAAGGTGCATTTTTGTTCATCCAACCACCTCTTTAAACTTAAACTCCCTGCAATTTTTCAAGATCAAACACCAGTTGTCTCCTTTAAACAAAGTGGAAGCAGAGCTTCTCCTCCACTGGCCTGAACTCGTGCTGTTTTATGGCTTTTCACAGATCGGTGTGAAAACTGGAACTTCTGATTGTTTTCCCACACAAAGGGTAGTTCAAAAGATCTTAGTAAACCAGGGGTGTCAAACTCAATTTCAC